CCAGCCCAGGGACATGGCAGGGAAGCTGAAAGAAATAAGAAACACAAGCCTGTATCACATCAAATGTGGAATCTAAATTTAAACTACACAAGTCTTGCAAAAAGCATTTAAGCTAAGAAATTAGCATAAAAACTGGTCCAGAACAAGTGGAATGCTTCTACCTCTAACAGTTGTAAATTCTGAGACTTCCTGTAGAGTCCCTTCCATCGTCAGTGCCCGGGGATTCACCCAGGCCAAAACAGTGTGTGGTAGGTATGCATATGAGCAGCCCCAAAAGTTGAACAAAAGCAAACTCTGAAAGAAACTATGAGATATAATGTTAAAAGTATTTAGAGATATAACAGATAAAGACATAATTTAGAGAAAGAAGATAGAATAGCCAGAAAATAAGAAGTGCCTTATGGAAAATAACAGAGATGTCTGAGAAAGAACTAAATAGAATATTTCTAGGCACCTAGACATGAAAAATATTGTCATTAAAATACTGTAGACATTAAACATATTAGGCACAAAAATATATAGTTAGAAGACAGATCTGAGAAAATCACCTAGACTACAAAAGGAGGGTTGATGTGGAGGACACAGTGAGAAGATCCAATGCACTGCTAATAGGAGTTCAAATAGAAAAAGTAGGAGGAATGGGACAGGGGTGATACTTGAAGAAACAATGTCTAAGGACATTTCAGAACTGAAGAAATACTTACACCTTCCAATAAAATAGGGCTATTGAGTCCCAAGCAGGAGAAATACTACTCTGCACTCAGGCTCTTCAGAATGAAACTACAGACATCAAATAAACAGGGAATTTGGGATAAGCTACCAAAGAGAAAATGCAGATTATCTGTAAAAGAATGACAACTAGACTAACAGATTTCCACAAAAGCAAGTCTTAAGGCCCAACTACAGTGGAGTACTAGCTTCAAAGTACGGAGGGCAATTACCTGTCAAGCTGGAAATCTACAATTTTGTGAAGAATGAAGGTGAAATAAAGAGATTTTCAGACAAATCAAGATGGAAAGACTTAAACTTTCAATGGCTGACCACTATTTAAAGAATTATGAAAAAAATATTCTTTAATATGTAAAACAAAACAAAACAAAAAGGAAAAAACCCTGAAGTATGAGCTAAGGTATAAGAAACAGTGGTAATCAAAGAAACTCATCATTAATGAGACAGATGAAGGGCATGTGGGTCTGAGGAGTACTGATTTCAGGAGAGATGTGAAAACAGGTGTAATCTAAATTCTAAAGACCTGTAACAAGGAGAACTGGAAGCAGTAGACCGAAGACAGTTGACTTTGTTTGCTTGTTACTCATGGAAAAGCTGTTGATTAACTTTTGACTTTTAAGTATACAAATTCACAACTTGATAATTATTTAAAGAGTAAAAATAAAAGCGTACTTTCTAAATCCAGTACTGGAGCAAAGAGGGGGATTTTTTAAAAGCTGGATCAACCCAGTAAAAGGCAGTAAAGTGGAAAAAGAGAAGGAAAAGAGGAGAGAAAGTTAAAATGCTAGGGAAAAAAAAAAAAATCCCAAACCATCAGTAATCACGGTAAAGGAGAACAGATTAAACTGAGTTGTTAAAATACAGAGACTCAGACTTTTTAAATCCAGTTTTTTGCTGCTTATGTAAGAGACATGTGAAATATAATTATTTGGGACATTTGAAAATAAGGGATTAAAAAAGGCATAACAGGCAAATTCTAAAGAGAGAGCAGAAGAAAGTTGAAGGAAGGAAGGAAGAGAGAAAAGAAACAAAATTATTATCAGACAAAATTTTTAAGGCAAAAAAATACTAGGATTAAAGATGATGTTACTTAGTGATAGAGGAGGAAAAGCTTACAGTAAAATGGGTAAAGATATGAAGAGACAAATCACCAAAGAAGAAACCCAAATGGTCAGAAAACATTTGAAAAATGTTCTGCCTACTGGTGTTAATGGAAATGCAAATAAAAGCACCAATGGGGCTATCCTTTCAACACCTGTCAGCTGGCAACAAATTTGGTGGGGGGTGGAATAAAAGGAAATTCTTATCTCTTACTGGTTGGAATGAAAGCAGCAGATGTGCACTGATGTGTGACTCAGCAATTCTGCTTTCATTCTGTATCCTAGATTAATGCCCTAGGATGTACCTTGGGCATCATTCATAATAGCCATAAAGAGGAAACAGTCCAAGTGACCATCAGTAATGGAATGGATAAGTAAATTGTGATATATTGAAACAAATGAAACTTGCATCAGTGGAAACGAATTAATTTATGGTTACCTGTATTAAAATGGATACATCTCAGAATTATAACATTGAATAAAAAATAAGTTGCAGAAGGATGTGCATGTTGAATTACAAATTTACATAAAACAAAACAGGTAGTGTATGCTGTTTTTATAGACACATACATGTGGCAGTAAAATATATACCTCTGAGAGGAAATGGTAGTCCTCCAAAGTGGGCAGTTCCCTTCTCGAATGAAGATGAATGGGAAGCGGGAGGAAGAGAGAGCAGGGTGTAACTCTGCCATGTTTAATTTTTAAAGATCTGAAATAAATATGACAAAAATATTAGCATTTATTTACATTGTTAGTTCTAGATGGCAGATGTAGAGGCTCCTGCTATTATTCTGTGTGTGTGTTTAAAACATTTACATAATTAAAAATATCTTCCAGATGATGGGAGACAAAAGACATACAATAATCAGAGAAAATGTTCTGTGTTCCATTATGGGTTCTATACAGGTGGCTTTCAGAGTTGAGGTGAAAGGGATTTCTGCCAATGAGGGGAACCCAAGAATGAGTCCTGGGAGACGTCCTGCAGTGTTGCTGTCCTACAGACTTCCACCTGCTGTCCATCAGCCATAGAAATAGATCAGCCATCAGGACCTCTTTCTGTTTCTTTGGCCTTTATCAAGTCCATTCCCTTTTTCACTAATAGTCTCTTTTTCATTTATTAGATTCTAGCCATCATAAAACAATAGTTATGAGGACTTCCCAAAAGATTTACTACTTTGAGAAGGAAAATCTTAAAAAATAACTGATGCTTTGTTTACTTCTCATGAAAAGAGACAATGATGACTTCTGTTGTTATATAATGTAGATTTTTATGGAAACATTTTGGGGCACGTGGGTGGCTCAGTCAATTGAGTGTCTGAGTCTTGGTTTTGGCTCAGGTCATTGGATCTCATGGGTCATGGGATCAAGCTCTGCATCAGGCTCTGCACCCAGTGGGGAGTCTGCTTGAGGATTCTTTCACTCTGCCCTTCTCCTTACTAGCATGCATGCTCCTCTGTGTACCCTTCTCCCACATCAAAAAAAAAAAAAAAAAAAAAAAAGGTGGGATGGCTGGGTGGCTCAGTCAGTTAAGTGTCTGCCTTCAGCTCAGGTCATGATCCTGGAGTCCCATCGGGCTTCCTGCTCAGCAGGGAGTCTGCTTCTCCCTCTGCTGGTTTGTGCTCTCTCTCACTCACTCTCTCAGGTAAATAAGTAAAATCTTTTAAAAAGAGAGAAAGGAAGGAAGGAAAGAAAGAAGACATTTAGACTTGGTGGAGGGAGAGGATTGATTGGTTGGTTGTCCAAGTAGAAACATGCATATATTACCCCAAACTCCTGACACTGGGAATGTTGGAGTTCAGAGCCAATAGCCAAGAAAGAATTCTTGAGACATCTTTGGTGCAAAAAGGTGGTTTTATTAAAGCATGAAAACAGGGGGCGCCTGGGTGGCTCAGTCGTTAAGCATCTGCCCTCAGCTCAGGTCATGATCCCAGGGTCCTGGGATTGAGCCCCGCATCGGGCTCCCTGCTCAGCGGGAAGCCTGCTTCTCCCTCTTCCACTCCCCCTGCTAGTGTTCCCTCTCTCACTGTGTCTCTCTCTGTCAAATAAATAAAATCTTTCAAAAAGAAAAAAAAAAAAAGCATGGAAACAAGATCTGTAGGCAGAAAAAGCTGCACTGGGATCATACGGAGTGGCCGATTATATACTTCCAAGTTGGGAGGGGTTTAGGGATAGTGTAAATCTCTAAGGAATTTTGGAAGCAAGGTTTCCAGGACCTTGAGCTGGCTAACTATTAGGAAAAGGTCATTTATTACTATCTAATATAACCTTAGTCATGAGACTCTTTAGATGTATATCAGTGGGCCATATGCTTAGAGGAGGATTACCAACCTATATTTTGGAGTGGGTAGTGATAAAGGAAGTTTCCAAAAGAATTTTTATATATTAAAGTAGACTTACTGGATCCTGGGTGGGGGGCAGGATAATGTTAAGCTAAGATTACCTTTTGCCCTTGGCAAAGTATTAACATCAAGGCAGCTGAGTTCCTAGAGGAAAGTCACTGTCCCTCTTTCAAGAACTTGTCAGTGGGCTATAAGTAGTATGGAAATTTAATTTTTTCTTTTGCCTTTGTTTCCCACATTGCTTTTCCCCTTTATCAGAAAGATTCTGTTCAAGATTCTCACATTTCAAAATTTTGTTCAATTTCCTTTTCAAGTGTACTGCTTCAAACAGTTAACAGTCATGTTTTATGACTTCTGTAAGGGAGGTCCGCATGGAAATAAGACTGGTCATCACAGTCCCGTGTTCACAGCATCTAGTAGTTTGTCAAAAACAGTAAAGTGCCTGCTCTGTCTAGCTGAAAAGGAACAGAAGCCTGTGGGCTTCACCCCACATCACAGTGGCCCCTCTGCTCTCTGGATGATCTCACTATATAACACAACACGACCAGTCATTACTCTTGACATGAAATAATGGCACACTTTGAAAAAGTTTGGTGTTCATGCTTCTGGCACATTGTTACAGGGCACTAGGAAATGGGATGGCAGAGTTGGTCTAGAAGCAATTTAGCCATCAGTGGGAAAAGCATCTAACTTGTCTTTGGATACGTATCTGCTCCATGTTGAAGATAGAGGGGAAACTGACTCCGATCTCTGACTAAGCTGCCTTGGGCCACCAGTCTGGGCTTGATACTGAACCGTGTATTCTCAGAATTTTTTTTTTTTTCATTTGCAGAGAAAAGATGCATCAGTCTGCCATGTATGAACTATGCCAGGGGATGCACCAGATCAGCCTACAGTTCGTTCGACTGCAGCTCACCTTTGAAGAGTACACCATAATGAAAGTTTTGCTGCTGCTAAGCACAAGTAAGTTGATGTCCACTTGTGCACTTTTTCTACATTGTCCGATGATCTGACCTCTAAGGAGATGAGCCTATTTTCAGTGTCAGGTAGTTGGTATTTAAAAAAAAAAAAAATTTTTTTTAAGGAGGTGAGAGAAGGTCTTTGGTCTTTGGTGAACTACGTTACTTGGAGAGTAGGAGGCTTTGGGTGAAGTAAGAGCATATTCCTTCATTTCCTCATCCATCCCACCACTAAATATTGACTGTCTGTTTTCCGTATAGTAGGATTCTACAGGGTACAGTTTCTGCCCTCAGCGAGTTTTACTATAAGATAAATTCAAAGATATGTTTAGTATGTTGTGGAAAGGGATCATCCAATCAAGATAGAAGATAAAGAGGGTCACAGTGGCTCAAAAAAGGAGGGAGCATATTTAGTTTTGAAGGTCAGAGAGGGATTCATGGTGAAGGTGAATCTTGGCAAGCTTTGCAAGGCTTATGAATTGGATATGAGGTCTGAGATGGCATTCCTGTCAGGGGATGATGTAAGCAAGTATGGAGATGTGGGAAAACATATCCAGGTGTTAGAACTTTGTTCTGGGTGAGGTGGTTTACCCATTAATTTTTAAATTTTTTTCTTCTTTATTCATTTAATTTTTCAAGGTGTATAAGGTGATGTGGGGTTGGAGAGGAGTGAGGAATAAGTTTGGGATGGAGGTTGGACCAGGATATCCAGTGTCTATTGAAGACACCTGACCTTCATTGTGTGGGCAGAGGAGTGCAGCACTGCAGGCTTTGTGCAGTGGGGATACATGACCCAGGCTAAATTCTGTGCATTTATGAAAATGTACCTGGTAGTAGACTGGATTAAAGAGGAAAAAGAGGGGGAGGTAGAGAGGCAAAGACAGAGAACTTAGCCAGATTGGAAGCACAGAGACTGCTGTGAGGCTATTGAAATAATAGCAGGAATGATAGTGGTAGGTGGCAGGATGGATAGGAGCAAAGGCATTCAAGGAACACAGCTGAACTGACAATGGACTAGAAGGGGAAACAAAATGGTATGGATCAGAAGTGACACAGGTTTTGCTCACAGAGAAATGGCTAGGATGGCAGTTGATACCATGTGGGGAATTGGAAAAGATTTGGTGGGGGTTTTATAAAATGACTTCTATTTCAAATGGGTTAATTTTCAGATGTATCCTAATGGGTCAAAAGATGGGGAGAATCTGGGTCTAGCACTCAGAAGACAGGTTTGGGTATTGAGACATAAACATGAAATTGTCCTCATAGAAAATTATCATCCAAGCTAAAATGATGAGTGGGGTTGCCAAGGCACAGGAAGAAGAGAAACGGTCCAGTCGAGCCACGTGAAAGGAGGATGGCAGGGCTGAAGAGGCAGAGATGGGTGTATCAGTGAGGCAGAGAAACTAGAAGCCAAGAACTGGTTTCCAAAAGGAGCATGACTAACAGCAGAGCATCCACAGAGAAAGTTGAGAGCACAGAGCGAGGCCTACTAGAGTTGACCATTAGGATTCAGGCAGGTGCCTGATGGCCAGGGACTTGGCAGATGGATGGGAAGCTTTTTTGGCTTCTTGAACCAGGTATGAAAGTAGAGAAGTTGATGACATAAAGTGCCAGAGAGACAAGATAGAACAGGATTAGCTTTGGCAAGGGTGTTGAGCACTTCTTCCTGGGGCAACGGCACAGGGCACAGACATTTTCAAATTGAGGGGAAAGAATCTGAGAAAGTTCACATCAGATGAGAGGAAGACAAGAATGATGGCAGGAGGCAGCATGGAGAAGAAATCTCCAAGCCAAGTGCTGTGGCCATTGAGGAAACTGGGCCATGTTCTGGGTGCCAGGGATGCTAGGGCGAGAGGTATGGACTTCATAGGAGGAGAGATTGTTGACTGACCACCTGGAAGCAGAGAAGAGAATCCAGCACATGTGCAGCCTTCCCATTGTCTCATGAACCAGGGGCGTGGTGGAAGGAGCAGTTTTCAGTAGAGTCGTTTAGGAGAAAGTGGCGTCACTCTTCAAGGTAATGAGAATAGGAGGGGTCAAAAGAGATGTTCTTTTCCCCCAGAGAGGGACTGGGTCTGAGGAGGAGTTAGGCTGAATCAAGTAGTGACAAGAGCAGGAAGAGAAGATGCCATAGCGACTCTGGATAAGCATCTGCTTCCCTGTGTGTAGCAGCTCCCGGCTTTTGAAGGGTTTGCCATACATCTAATTTAATGCTTAAAAGAACCCAGTGAGTTGATAACCCCTTTCTGAAGCTAACAAAAAGGAGGCACACATGTGTTTTTGTCCAGTACCCTCTGTGCATTAGAACTCAAAGCCTTGGCTTTGGACTTCACATCCAGTGTTGTTCCTACTCTCTCCAGAGCGGGGAGCCAGGGGTGGAAAGGCAGGCTGGTGGCACGTGACCGCAGCGGGAAGCCGGGAGCGGCACGTGACCACAGCAGGTGGTGTGGAGTGGCACGTGACCATAGCAGGGGGCGTGGAGCGCTTAGCAGGCGGGACCTAGACTCCAGCGGAGGGGGCTGACCCTCAGCCCCAGCCGAGAGGTGGGACCAGCACCTGACAGCTGTGTTTTGTTTGGCCCGCACAGGTATTTTAGGTTCCTCTTGGCTTTTTGTCTTGTTTTATTTTCATTGAATTCGATTGCCCAAGGCAGGGCATGTTCTCTCCCCTTTTCCGCAGGCCCTACCATTCCTCACTGATTACACTCAGCCAATCTCCTGTAGGGTCCTGTGCGCAGACCCTCATCGGAAGGGCCCAGGGTCCAGGGTCCGGAGAACTGGGCTCTTTTTCCCTGCTCTGCTCACCTTCCAGGTTTCTGACGACCCCGATTTAGCCTTTTTGGAATATAACTTTGGAAACAGAATCTTTAAATTCAGCGACAGTGATTCTGTTCCCATTTCCAAGCCATGTCATTAACCATTACTGACTTGAAAAATGTTGCAAGTATAGATCTAGATGTAGATAGATCAGATGGGTGATAGAATTTAAATGAAAAAATGCATGTGATACTACTCCATCTTAATTGGTGTCTTATCCTTTAAGACCATTTAATCAGTTAGCCTATAATCAATCCTGATATCATTTTGAAGCTACCCAAATTAATTTATTAGCTTCCAAATAGCTCAGTACTTTGAATTCTGATTTTTGTAGATGCAGGAAAAGCAAAATAAGAAGGCAGGAAAACATAAGTAAAGAATTGTATGAGTCATAGAGCTGCAGGCTTTAGGAAGTTTATTTTGCTAACCTGTGATAGAATGTGTTAGAATTTTTCTTCTTTAGGTTGTTAAGTTGCACACCTGATGTCCAGTGTATCAAGAAAGTTTTTAGCAATGACATTGAGAGAATCTTGTGTTCTTAATGCTTATGGAGGAAAACAGACGAACTTCTACCCCAGTTGTTTGGATGGTTTCCAGCAGCCCTGTTGCATTTAATAAGTAAATTCAGAAAATCTGGGCAAACCTCCAAAATTTGAGGTTTTGCTTAAGTTCTCTTTATTTGTGGGTTTGTTTCAACTTCTAAAAAATCTGGCTGGGAAATTGGTACAATATATTTGAGTTATAGCAACAATATATAAGTAATATTTGACACAAATCGTTTGTAATCTTGAGAATTTCTTATACAGAACTATCCATAAGGAGGTCTTTGCTTAATCTTAGTAGATACACCAAATAGTAGTATAGTAGTGAAATTTATTCACTCCATTCTAATTTCAGGTAATTTGTTAATGTATGGGATGATCTCCATAAACATTTATGTTGAAAAGCAAGAGGTTTACTCCATATTTTATAGCTTAAAAAAATAATTGTTAACCTGTGTATGGGCACTATTTGCAAAGTATTTGCAAACTTGCCATTTCTTTCAGAAAGTTTTAAGTTAACACTAAAATTTTGGTAGAAAGTAGATCTATAGTTCTACTGTTAACATCCTGATTATTACCATCCTTCATATGTTTTATACTTTTAAAACAAGGCTTTATTTTTAAAGAAAACAAACTATTTGTTATATAATGGTGGCATATAACTTTTAATGTGAATGTCAAATATTTGAAACCACAGCTAATATTGTGGCAGCTTCAGGAAATGCATGCAATTGCTATTAGGGGTTTCTTTTTCCCCCACAAATGTAGATTTAGGTAAACCACAAATCAAAAGCCTCAACAATTAAATTCAAGGAGACTATTAACATAAGATGTGAATGTAAATTGTAAGATAATTTTTGTACAGGACAACAGGGTTTAATTTGGAAATAGCAGTATTCCCAGCTTCCAGGGCTCTCATAATAGTCAAAAGTGTACTTAGCTATTCTAAAGGGCTGATGACCTGAGTAAATTTTTATCCCAGTTATGACAAATTAGCAAATATGCTGTATAATTAAGAAATGAAAGTAAAAGCAGTTTCAAACTCAGAACATTAATTTCACAAGATGATTTCTCCATCTCCTAAAAATAAAGTTAAGTGATTTTATTTTTCAAAGTTAAAGCATACACATAACTATTTATTTGCTATGGTGGAAAAAAAGCAAACATGTAGGTAGATTTTCAGAGGGAATACTTTAGTACACTCTGCCTTGCACCTCCTTCTAGAACATTCTCAGCACAAGAGCACCTTTCCTCCATAAGGGCTTTCACATGTATCCTGGGACAAAGCATCTCCTTTCAGCAGGATGCAGAGACATTTGATATGCTTCCAAGCCCTGAATCCCAAAATATTGTTTCTAAATGAGATTTTTTAATTTAAAATTAAAAGCCAGCCGCTACATAAAAGAAAACATGATCCTTAATGTTTTACTTGTTCAAAGAAAAAGGAGAACATGGTTTATCCTCTGGAAGTTATAGATTTTGCCATACATGCAGAGCCACTGTGGTGTTACTCTTTTGCACACACAAACCAGTGCACAGACCCACAGCCTGGTTGCCTGGGAGACCACACGATAGGGCCCCATGCCTGTCCTCCCCCACCCTATAGACGGCCAGTCTCCCCAAGTGTCTTTGATTTTGAATTTGAATTTAAAGATGTTGCTTTCTAATTCTAGCCCCAGCTTAGATTGTCTGTGACTCTTCCAGTTGTCCTGGAAAATCAAAGTATATTTTCCTACCTCTGAAGTATTGGCAAGTTAGGATCCATAAAACACTTAGATGACAGGCCACAAGGCAACGTAGCATTGTGGTTAAGAGGCAGGCTTTGGAAATAGACCTAGGTTTCTACCCCTTCTCTGCCCTTAATTTATTGTGTCCTTGGGCAGAATTAAACCTCCAGTCTTCAGTTTTGTCATCTATAAAATGAGAGTAATGATTATGTCATAAAACTGAGGTCAAGCTCACATTAATATACGCAAGATGTATATTAACATCCACCCCATAAATAGCAGTTATTATTCTTTGTATATAGAGGTGAACACGAATTTATCAGTAGATAACTGCCATATTTGTTCACAAATGCAATTAGTTGCAATTCAGTATCAACCTGAAAGTGTGAGCCTAAAAAACCTCAAAATATTCTAGGTTATTTAACTGCTACAATATGAATGCTGTTTTCCATCCTGGGGATTTACATGTCTGTATTCCCTAAACACAGTTCCAAAGGATGGCCTCAAAAGCCAGGCCGCATTTGAAGAAATGAGGACAAATTACATCAAAGAACTGAGGAAGATGGTAACTAAGTGTCCCAACAATTCTGGGCAGAGCTGGCAAAGGTTCTACCAACTGACCAAGCTTCTGGACTCCATGCATGATGTAAGTAGAGCCTCTTGGTACCTGTTAAATGAGAGATTAACCATCACAACCTGTTGACCCCACAATACTGGAGAGGTGAGGAAGCGTTCTCAGGGCTTTGGGAAGAATAGGGATAAATGATTCAGCGGGAGGCAGCAAGTGCTGAGAACTGATTAAGAAGGAAATTTTCTTCAGATCACGTTTGAAACAAACCCAGGTAAAGTAAAGGGTGTGGCTGTCTTCCATTCTGAGCAAAATGAGAGTGGCGTGGACCATCATGGCAAGACCTCTGTGTCCTGGGCCAGGGAAGGCCCTCAGATTTGCTACAGGTATCAGATCAAGTTTCACATTTCTGCTTACAATTTAGGAAATGTTTGGTTAATAAAAATGTTTGCTTTAACATTGCATAAATAGTGTCCATCTTGACAACTGTTAATCTAATAACCCAATCTTTCCAAAACATTATTAGTGGTCCAGGGCCAACTTGAATCATCTCAGTCTTTGCCAAATTTTGAATTCTATATTCATTCTTCACAGGAGTCACCTTTCTTGTCTTATGTAAATAGAGAAAGTAAATTCTGAGCTTGTTTCTAAATGAATCAATTATAGATGTACCCGAGGTGTTAGCAGTTTCTACAAAATATCAATTTGGATAACTTGCTTTGTTATGTCATTTGAAATATGCTTCTTGTTTCACTTTGCGAGCAGTTTTCTTTAGCTCTAGCTCAAAGAAAAAGTTGTTCGCAGTCATGCTGATTTCATTTTTTATGTTTGTGAGGCTTTCGTACTTTCTTTTGAAAAATTTATTGCCCAAGTTCAGCCCATATGATTTGTATAAGAAATCCTCTTTCAGATATTTCTCTGTTGTTCAGAAAAGTGTTGCAAGGCTCCATGGCTAGCTAGTATTATATTAGTATTTGTATTTGAATCATGAGTCATCCTTTAAAATTTTGTTTATGCCAATGGAATGTGTGGTTTGATAGATAAGGAATGTGACTTGCCAGTGTTTTACACTGAACTGTTTTTGCTTTCTCCCAACTTTCCGTATGGTATTAAGTCAAATTCTCACAAAGTGAATTCAGTGATCATTTGGCTAATTATCAGTGGCCTAAAGAGCATGGTTTAGTGGAAAATCATAGGACTAAGAGATGATGGCAAATGCATCTTTAGAGTGATCACAACTCTGCCTTCCACAGCTCACACAGAGAACAAAGGAAACTAGAGCCTGGAGCACAGGTCACCTGTATGACAATAGGCAACAGATTTGCTTTCTCCTGTGAGCTTTATGGAAAGCCCTTTATGGTGGACTCAGAATGGGTTCTTGGGTTCTTTCTTGATGAATTCTCTTATTTGTTCAAATGTACAGACAGGCTCAAGTGCAAAATCAGAATTAGTATGTGATTGTCATCACTGCAACATACGATAATAGATGATAAACTTTAAGGCAGTTCGCATGTAATGAAACTGACAACGGAAGTTAAAACTGGTTTTTCCACAACCTCTCAGAATCTTTGTGCTGTAAACAGAGTTGCACTGAAGAAACACTCAGAGTCCACACCTGTGGTCCGTGTGTCAGACTGTCCTCACCCCGCTGGTTTTTTAGAGCCATGCTTGGCACAAGATTGGAACTCAATGAATCCTTGACCCAAAGGGCTAGATCATAACTGATGATATTCTGCAAAATTCCCCAAGGTAAATCAGTGTCTTCCTAGTATTTGTTTTTGTCAAGGCATAATTGATAACACAATAAACTGAACATTATTACAGCATACATTTGGGAAGTTTTTCACACACTGGAGAAACTATCATCACCATCAAGATAATAGACATATTTATGGCCCCCAAAATTTCCTTGCCCCCTCTTTTTTTAACCTTTCCTTCTACCTCCTGCTCCCCAGTTGCTTTCTGGCAATACAGATTTGTTTTTTCATTGCTGTTGTTGTTTTCAGAAATGGTTTGTTTTTTTTTTTTTATTATATTAGTTATCATACAGTGCTTCATTAGTTTTTTATGTAGATCTGTTAATATATTCAAAGTATCTCATATACATGGAATCATGTGGTATGTAGGTTTTTTGGTCTAGCTTTCTTCACTTAGCATAATTATCTTGAGATTCATCACAAACTCATCAATGCATGGCTCACTAGCATGTATCACATTGTATCACATTCATCAATGCGTGTATCACTAGTTCATCTCTGCCCTTTGCTGAGTAGCATCTCACCATATGGATATCCCACAGTTTGATAGTCCAGTGACCTGTTGATGGACATTTGGGTGATTTCCAGGTTAGGGACTAATGCAGATAAGCTGCCCTAAAATTTGTATACAAGTCTTCGTATGGACATTGCTTTCTTTTCCTTGGGTGAATAGCTACCTAGCAGTGGAAAGCCTGGGTCACATGGTAGGGGTATTTTCCTTCTTTGTAAGACTGCCAAACTCTTTTCCAAAGTGGTTGTCCAGTTGTACCTTCTGTTAAGAAATGTGTGTGCAAAAAAAAAAAAAAAAAAAAAAAAAAAAAATGTGTGTGCACTCAAAGTGATTCACATCCTTACTAGCAGTTGGTATGGCTAGTCTTTCTAGTTTTAACCATTTTAATAGCCATGTGCTAGTATCTCACTGTGGTTTTTATTTGCATCTCCCTAATGATCAACAATCTTTTTGTGTGCTTATTTGCCATCCTTATGTCATCATCTATAAAGTATCTATTCAACTCTTTCACTCATTCTGAAAATTTGGATCATCTGGTTGTTGAATTTTAAAAGTTCTTTAGATATTCTAGATATAGATCCTCTATCAGATTTATGACTTGCAAATATTTCCTCCCAGTCTGTGGCTTATCTTCATTTTCTTAACAATGTCTTTTGAAGAGCAGTAGTTTCCAATTTTTTATAAAGCCCAATTGATTGTTTCTTTTATGAATCCTGTTTTTAGTGTTGTAACCAAGAAATCCTTGCCCAAGCCAATGTCACAAAGCTTTTTTCCTATTTTCTTCTAGAGATCACTAACCTTCATTGACTGATATGGAGTAACTTGAAAAACATTTTTTTTTTAATATTTTGATTTTTGAGAGCATTTTTGGTTTTTCCTTGTGGAAGGGTAAATCCAATCCGCCTTACTCCACCATGGCTGGAAGGAGAACATTCTTTGGGGAATCACTGTAGTCATTCTAATTCTGAAACCCTTGTTTTAAATTATCAAAAATGTTTGCACTTAGAAGTAGCCTAACAGAAGCATCTTGAATGCTCTATTTATATTCCTATTCCAGACAGAACATTGAAAAATGCATTGTAAGTCTAGAGGGACCTTTCTAACATTCACGCTTACTCAGACTTGAGACTGCCTACAGCTTTTTCATTAGAGTAAATTAGTGAATCAACATTTGTGGAATTTTCTTCCAGGGAACAAAGAGCTAACAATGACTGGCTCTGTACTCGAGCCTAGTTTTGGTCACCTTGTGGAAAAAGAGCATTTGTGCCTAAGGTTCACATGAATATGAACCCTATGAGTCAAATCAAAGCTCTGCTTCAATAGCATGCATAGAATGCCACCCCTCAGGACACATGTCCAAAGATCTCAGTTCGTGTGGATTTCTCCCACATGGTGCACACATGTTGTTGGCAGAACAGTGCCAAGGTGTGTGAACAGAACATTCTCTGAAAAAATAGGTTGGCCAGTTAAGTATTTGAATCGGTCAGCAGCTTTAATGAATCATAACCCCCCTGAACATCAATCTTTCCTCAAAGAATGTTTCAAAGAAAGCAGCTGTGGTCAGGCTGCTATGAATAGATGTATTTTAACATTGTAAATGTTTTGGTGTTACATGCAAGGCGTATAGATTTCTTATTCTTCTAAAGAAAATTGATAATTAATGGTCACTTTCTAGCTGTTGCTAAGACAGGCAACTAATTTTCCACATGTAAGAAGCACATTTCCTTTTTTAAAGATTTTATTTATTTATTTATTGGAGATAGAATAGGAGTGAGCAAGAATGACAGTGAGCATGAGCGGGAGGAGGGACAGAGAGAGAGGGAAAAGCAGGCTCCCCACTGAGCAGGGAGCCCAACACGGAGCTCCATCCCAGGACCCTGGGATCATGACCTCAGCCAAAGGCAGATGTTCAACCGACTGAGCTACCCAGGCACCCCAAGAAGCACATTTCTAAGGAAGTTATTGGTAACTTCTGTTCATAGAGATCAAGAACTGTGCTGTGATCATTGTGTAGAACTGTTAGTAAATGTTAAGTAATGATATTAATAGTACTTTTTAGAAGCAAAAATTGCCCTTTTTGTATTAGTTTCAAGATCATACTATTATAATCATCTTTATTTCAGTATACACACTAGCAAAAATGTGCCTCATGCATAGCCCTATTGACAAGGCTACAAAGGATACAAAATAAATGCATGACACCAACCCAACCCTCAAATAGCTCATATTCTAGACAGGTGGCTGGAGAAACAGTGCACAACAGAAGGGAATCGGGTGCCAAAACTGGCCGCCAGGGCAGTAGAACCTTTGAGAGTACATGGGTCTCCTTCTTTCATGAGCCAGTGAGCACCCCCCCACACACCCCACCGTGTTCTAGGACCAATGGTGCAAGTGTGAATGGAATGTCCTTCGGAATCCCACTTGTCTAATGCAAGAAGATGTTCATCTCATGAAGCAGATGCTTTAATGTCTGAAAGTACAAGGCAGTTAGTGTACGAAGGAGAACAAACCCAAAGCCTGGCCTCCAGGGGCTTGCAGTCGGCCCAGGGGCCCCAGACAGCACTGTACAGGCAGTGTGCTTGGGACTTCTGAGGAGGTGAGCATGCCATGAGTTGTGGGCCCATTGATGTTTATTCTGAGTTGATAGAAAGCCTGATTGAAAAGGCATAGGAGCCAGCTGTGCCGGGCAGGGGGTCCTGGAAGGCTTCCAGAAGGGATTCAGAGACTCTTTATTTAATAGAAGGAGAGACGAGACGGATGCGCAGAGAGTGACTTTACAGGGTCAAACGTAGCTGGTGGCTGCTGAACCC